ATGTTGGACATAGCGGCAGGGCATCCAAAAGCCCTGCTGCTATGTCCAAAAGCCCTGCCGCTATGTCCAAAAGCCCTGCCGCTATGTCCAAAAGCCCTGCCGCTATGTCCAAAAGCCCTCCTGCTATGTCCAAAGCCCTGCCCCTAATCCACTGTAACTTTAGCAACAACTACCTCTACTAAAAAAGTGCCCTCTACAGGAGAAGGCAGGAGAACCACGTCCCTCATTTAGTCTATCTTTATGATCACTTGAGCAGAAAGCTTTCTTGAAAGCAGGCAAAAGCCGCCCTGCCGCCCGGACGCCTCTATGTCAGACATAGCGGCAGGGTGGTTTTTGCCTCTAGCGCTGGGGCGGCAGGGCGGCTTTTGCCCACTTTCAAGAAAGCGTCCTGCCTCTATGTCTGACATAGCGCCCGGGCGGCAGGGCGGCTTTTGCCTGCTTTCAAGAAAGCTTTCTGGACTTCCGGTGACATCATTGGCTATGGCGGCAGGCTTGGAGAGGTCTGCAGGCAGGGAGAGGTGTGATCTCCTCAGCGACGCAGAGGCTTAGCCCTGATCCCAGACATCAGAAGAGGGACACATAGTGTTCCCAAAGCCATGACACAGCACTTTTGTTCGGCGTAGAATTTGTGGTGTGAATCTGGATGCCCTCAATTTTCTCGAAGGGTAAGTTGGATTTACTATTTGGTTACTGCATCTTTGGCAGTTTTTTCCCCCCTCTTTGATGGGACTTTCGCTCAACAAACAGGAGCAAATAAACTAACAATCGAAGAAGGATTAACATCATAAAGAGTTGTTGAAGGTGGTGGAAACAGAGGAGGGAGAGTGAAGTTTTACCCTGAGGCACAGCTGCTAGATATCTGTGGACTTGCCCTGCCTGCCCCCAAGATTTTTGGAGAACTTTTGTGCTGCTGTAGGAGGCTTAAGACTCCACTTGAGACAGACAATATTATATCCACTGTGCGCATTGTTTTCTTTCTTTCTTTCTTTCTTTCTTTCTTTCTTTCTTTCTTTCTTTCTTTCTTTCTTTCTTTCTTTTTTGGAGCTGGAGTTGAACACTTGAAAGGGGAATATTTCTCCTGGACAGAATGGACAAGCTGAACTTCCTTTTCTTTTTGTTCTCTTCTCTTTGAAGTTTGCTTCCTTTTTTTGTGTTGGTGTATTTGCTCCCCCCCCTCTTTCTTTTTTTTCTTTCTGATATGAGCCTCCTCTTGTATTTTTTTTTAGATCTCTGTATGGGACTATATTCATATATATTTATATGGGACTGTACCTTTAACTGATTACATTAATCTATTTTTCCTTATAGATAGCAGTAAAATAAGTCGGAATATTGCTTAAACTGGTAGCAGATAGCTTATGAAACAGTGGGAGAAGCTTCTTAACCTAATTGATGTGAGCTGGGCAAAGGGGGGGGGGAACCTCAGCACTACTTACTCAGTCGTCCCCATCTACAACCCCTCCAACACNATGCATGTCTGTCCGTTAGCTGACATATGTATTATGACTTCCTGTAGACATAATATTGCTGTAACTCAAGGGCAAAACTTGAGGGGTGTTTCCAAAACTAACAGATGGCGTTAACTGAAAGCGATAAACTATAAAAGGAATTTCCTGCTTGCACTCGGGGTTCAGGCCATTGTTCCTGAACCTGCGCAATAAACTTTTTCCTTCTCTGAAGAGCTGGCTTCCGTGTCCTGTCGTTTCTACAACACCAACTGCAATAGTTTCATAGCAGATTCTAGTACTTTTAACATAATTTTAACAGCTCAATTCAGCATTTGTGCAGTATTAGTTGAACAGCTTGCATTTCACAGTTGTAACTTTTGAGAATGTTTAGTAAAATTGGGAAAACTATGATTCTTGGTGCATTTTACTTATTTCCTTCATTTTGTTTCCTATGGGATAATTTCCTATGTATGGGTTAATTTGTGTCCATATAGAGAAAAAGCCATAAGGCAGCAATAGCAAACCTTTTTTGGCTTGTGTGCCATAAGAGGGGGAGCGCAGGGGGGGTCATGCGCAGGCATGCCACACCCATATTGCAACATGTGACCCTCCCATGTGCATGCGTGTATAAGAGGCACTCCTCCTCATTTTTTGCATGCTTTTTTCACCCTTCCCAGGCTCCAGAGGCTTTATAGGAGCCTGGGGAGGGTGAAAAAGGCCTCCCTCGCCCGCCCCCCCGGAGGCCCTTCCGGAGGCTTCAGGGACCTTCAGGAGGTTTCCCTGAAGCCTCTGAAGGGCAAAAAACAACCCTACAAGCAAACCGGAAGTCACTTCTGGTTGGCTCATAGGGCTGGTTTAAGCCCTCCGGCAGCGTCAGGGACCTTCAGGAAGACTAAAAAAGACCCTATGAGCAAACCGGAAGTCCATTCCCGAACATCCAGTTTACCCATAGGGCCGGTTTTTTGTGCTCCGGAGGCTTCAGGGAAGCTTCCGGAGGGGCTCCGGGGGGGGGGGGGCAGGGAAGCTCTTTTCACCCTCCCCAGGCTCCTATAGAGAGCGAAAACTGCCTTTCAAAAAGGCTGAACTCAGCTGGCTAGCGTGCGCATGCGCGGTGGCCAGCTGACAGGGAAATGCCTCGCGTGCCCTGACAAATGGCTCCGTGTGCCACCTGTGGCACACATGCCATAGGTTCACCATCCCAGCCATAAGGCAATGGTCTTAAAAAAGCAAAAAGGATTTTATATTGTTCTTAGAAAAATGTAAGAAATCATAACTGCAGTGAGAAATACAATAAGATAACATATACAATGAGAGAATGTAAACATTGAGCCGTGGTGGCACAGTAGTTAAATGCAGCATTTATTTATTTATTTATTTATTTATTATTAAAATTTATATGACACCCAATCCCGAAGGACTCCGGATTGCAAGGAAACTCTGCCCACAGCCTGGAGTTCAATCCTGATGGAGCTCAACGTGTACTCAGCCTTCCATTCTTCCCAGGTCAGTAAAATGGAGGCAAAAACAAGATGGCTATGCCTACAATACTACCAAGAGAACAGGTTTGGTGATATGGCAGGCCTGGGTCGCTGCTGGTTCCAGTGACCCAGGCCACCAAATTACTACCTATTCAGCCGAACCGGTCCAAACCGGTAGGAACCCACCTCTGTAGCCTAAGTATTTCNAAACACACACACACACACACACACACACCAAAAAAGGGGGGGCTAAGAAGTAACGGGAGTAAAAAGGAGGAGAGGGCGACGCGTTGCAACCTCCAAGCGCACTTTTCGCGTTTTGCTTTGGAACTTGCAAAAAGGCTAATAAGCCTAGGCGCGCTGGGTCTTTCCGCCCCAATTTGCAAAAAACGAGACGAGCGAGCAACCTTCTTCCTCGCAGTCCCTCAGCTCTCTTTTATTTCGAATTTATCGGGAAATACATATATATTTTTAAGAAACAACCCTTCCAGAAGAAGTCCAAACTTCCACAGCCTGCGACCCGCTTCACCGAGGGGCGTGCACCGGGGTGTGCGCGCGCTCCCTTCGGCATCCTGAGGGGAAGAGAGAGAATGGCCGGTTCTCGCTGCCAATTCGGCCAAGAGTCCGCCCGGCCGTTTGCGGCATTGCCTAATTGCAAGGAGAAGCGGGGGGTGGGGGGGAACCGGCGGGAAATCAAGAGGGAGGCAGGCAGGCAGGCTTAAGGCGCCGCTGCGAGTCGCGCGAAGAAGAGCAGCGGGGAGAAGGGAGGCTGTGAAGCAACATCGTGTAAGCTCCACGGGAGAGAGGAGAGCCCGGTGGCCGAGCAGCGTTACTTTGCTGCCGCCGCCGCAGTCCGCTGTGCTGTTGAGGTCTAGCGCTTTCCCCACCTCACTTGCCCACTTCTCGCCGGCTCAGCCCTGACCCGAGCTGTGCGCCTAGCGGGTTCTCAGCCTCTCTTTGCCCCTCCCTCCTTACAGCGCCATGGGCTGGCTGTGTCTTTAGCGCTCACCACCATGTGCACGAGCTTGTTGCTTATGTACGGCAGCATCGGGAGCGGAGGCAGCGGCGGTGGTGGCGGCAATGACGGTGCCAGCGGCAGAAGGGCCTTGAAAGAGCAAGTCCAGCAGCAAGCGGCGGCGACCACCCCCCTTCAGAACCCGGAGAACCAGCGGCCCTCGAGTACAGCCTTCCCGCGGCCTTTTCCCGGCCTCGCCGACCGTCTTTTGGAAGGCTACATCAGCGTCCTGGATCACAAGGTGAGCGCAGAGAAGCGGTGCCGCGGAGGGAGGCGCCAAGGCGGGTTGATTGACGTTTGGGATTGAGCTCCTCTCTTGCCTCCCGCTTGTAAAGATGCGGGATCGAACAGTTTGAAGAAGAAGAAAAAAAGGAGGAAGATTGCAGGGAGACCGAAAGGTCAGAAAGGAAGGGTGCGTTAGGCACTCGGTTCTTTGCAGCGTGGCAATCTGGAGTGGAGGTTTCAAACGCGCCCTTGTCTTTTTGACATATTGGCTGATTAAACAGAGGTAGGATTGTGGGATGTTTTTAGCAGCCCAACTGTCTTTTCCTCTGCATTCTGGATAATTGCAATCTATAAGGAATAATGTTGGTTTCAACAGCAGTCTTGAGAGACTCTAAAGAGCAAGCTCTACATCTCTCCCACAGGTAGTTACAGACGAACATTTAATTTGATGGCAATGCTAGACTGGTTTCTGGTTAATTGACAAATAGTTTACAGCTTGTTCTATTTCCTTGGAAATATTTGCCCTGCTCTCAAAGGTCAAGCCGCCACTCAGGCAGATCCTAAATTATCAAATAGATAAATTGCTTTGATCACACTGCTTTGCTGGAGTGGTTCTATAAAAAGAGGACAATTTTTAAAGGGCACCTCTTACTTTTATGAGCCAAAATAGAACGTTTCTGCTTCTTGGAAAAATAACATCAGTGATGCTGATTTTTTTTTAAATTCTTTGGTAGATTTGACGCTGTCAGCATTCAAGGCATTAAAGAAAATATAATTTAAAGTTACATGTTTGTTTAAAAAATAAATTCATGGTGAGTGAGTATATGAAGTAGTTCTCTATGTATTATTCATGAAATAGTCATCACTGGGGAAAAAACTGGACACCTAGTCTAGTTCAGAAAACTTTTAAGATACATTTTTTATTTATTTTAGTTTATTTTGAAGAATTCAGAAACATGTTCTATTAGTACAGGGAGAGATGCTGAAAAAAGTTTTTTAAAAACAATTTATACCCTCTCTGTGCTTTAAAATAATTTTAAAAGTTCAAAAATAGGAAAGAATAATAAAACCTATACATTCATTACGTTAATATATCTCTTGAAAGTAGCTGCATCCTAGTGCTAAGGCTCAGCAGAAACCTTGAACAATACATCTGCTTTTTTAAAAGTCAGTGGGTTCATGTTCTCTTCTTTCTATATTTCCTCTTCTGAATCATTTCAGAAGAATATATAACCAGACTATTTGCAGTGATGAAGTGTTTAGAAAGATGAATTTAACCAGTTGTATGCTGCTGCCAGAAAAACATCCGAAATACTTTCACGCCTTCTCCCTTCCGTCATTCCTCCTGAGTTCAGAGAAAGTCGAACCAGTATGGAATTCCCAACCAGTAACAACTGCTTGTTCCAAGAAGTGTGTTTGTGGAATGTAGTATCAACACCTTTCTGCAAGCTGTTTTTTAAAAAAAACAGGAATAGTGCATTCATTTGCAGATTGTTCATGTATTGTTTTAATTTTTGCTTAAAGAGGTGGAGTGTTTTCTGCTTAGAGTTGTCTACTGTTGGAATTAAAGATAAGTAAAAATCTCCAGGGATCAACTAGATACAAGGGCATATTATTATTATTATTATTATTATCATCATCATCATCATCATCATCATCATC